GGGGGGGGGCACGGCCGGGCAGCCCGCACTGGCGCACAGGGGCGTAAATACAATTAGGGGAGCCCTCTGTGGCCCGGCCACGCCACGCCACGCTCGCACAGTGTCCCCATGCATGACGGAGAGAGAGAGAGAGACAGAGAGGGGGGGGGGTCGAAGAAATGTGAGGTAGGCAAGGGGTTTGAGTGGGTGAGAGGAACAGGAACGATAGCAGGGGGTAAAAGTGGGCAGATTTGTAGTAAACGGGAAGATGAGCGGATAAGGACAGGGGGTGCGAGAGAATGACAATGTGGGAGGAAGAGCAGAGGAAATTACAGACCGGGGAAGAATGAGAGAAAAGAATAAAACGCCACTCAATGTCGCAGAGGCAAGCTCACACAGGCCTTTTCACGGAGAAACAAATGAACGCGTGAACGCTCGGGCGTGGGGGAGTATTGACAATCCCCGTCAGAGCAGAGCCCCGCCACGACCGTGCTCACAAAGAGCAAAAGTTTCGCATTCCCTTAAAATTACATTCCTTTTTCCCGCCGCCAACGACGCAAACTAAGAGTTGGTCCCGCAACTTTTATCATATAAGTCGGCTTCGACAACTGGGCCCCTGGTGCCCGCATCATGGTTTACGCCAAATGCCGTCAGCATTTTCTTTCTGTTTTCCCAAAGTTCAGTGCGAAAGTCGGGGAACCGGGAGTTTTATTTTAATTTAATTCCTTATTTCTTTGAAATCATCAGCAAATCATTCGAAGGGAATGCGTGACAATGTCCAAAATGGTTGCGGTGAAAGAAAAGGCGGAATGAGGAAATTGATCGAATAAGTGAAAGGATTTACAAAACACCTTCCGGAGCGTTTTTTCCCCACTTCATTTTTTGTTATTCCCGGGAGAGAAACATGATACGGCCAGCTACTCAAACTCCCCACATTTACCTCTTTTTTTCATTTACCTTTCCTCCCTCGCAAGATGTGGACGGAGCGGATTACAAAGAAAGTTTCCACCGGGGTGAACACAGGAAATTAAACATTCTGCACGTTTTCCCTCCCCGGCTCTCCTCGGCTACATACCGCCCCCCCCAGGGGAGGGGAGGGGCGGGGCGGGGTGGGGCAGTACCGCCAGCGGAGGTCATGTCAGTGTGACTGAACAAGGCCCCGGGGGCCGCGACATGTTGTGGGCGTCATTGAGCGCCGCCGTGTTCGAGGGAGGACGCTCAGACATGGGGTCGAGATGGGTGGGCAGATACACGCAGGAGGAAAGGGGGGGGAGGAACTGACTCTGGAGGAAGCCGGGGGAGCGGCGCCAAGGTGACGTTTGCTCCCCACACGCTCTAATGGGGCCAGCCGGCCACGGGCGGACTGGAGGGGGAGGGGGAGGGGAGCTTGAAGAGGCGGGAGCGCGTGGCCTGTAGAGAGAGGGGGCGATGCGGAAGATGGGGTTGCACGAGAATAGCGAGGGGGTAGAAATCGGGAAATAATGACCTCCACCACTATTCCGCGCCGCCCACCGACGGGCGCCCGTCAGCCGATCCCCGCCGCCTCCCACCCACCCTCGGGTCTCATTAGAGAGCGAGTGTCACAGGGGACGCACGGCCGCACGAGCTGACCGGACGCGTCAGCACGGCCGTATCAAACTTGCGTCGCCCACCGCACCTCCTCGTCCGGCCTCCCCCGACCTCCGCCACGGCGGCCCGCCCGGCCTACTCCACCACCCCCAGGACCTCGTCCACGACCTCGCTGCAGCGGGGCCCGGCGGAGCCCGGCGGTGTCGCCTTACTGCACGCAGCCCAAGGCCGAGGCCCGGGCCCCCATTAGGGCGGGAGTTAATTAGGCCGTCTAGTTTGGCAGAAGCGGGATCCGATTTCAGCGGCGCTTTCCAGGTGCACCGCCGCAGCTCAGCGCGTGGCGCGTGGCGCACCGCTCCTCTGGAGCCCCTGCGGGTCGCGGGGTAGGCCACCGGCGCGCCCGCCGAGCAGGGCGGCGCTGCCGCCCCGCTGGACCGCAGGGGCTCCAGTCGAGGCTCTGCCCTGGCGGTGAACCTCTCGCCTGCCCAGGGTTGGTGGTTTCCCTCCTAGCCCCCACCCCACACCCTGTCCCGACACGTGACCCGTTTTTGTCTCCAGATTTGCGCTCGAACCAGGCCGGCAAACGGCGCGATCACTGGTAGAACAAATGTAGTAGAAACGTATAAGTCGCACACAAATTTGCTTTCTTTCTGGTGTCGAAATAAACATAACGAAGTGTGCGAACTTTACATATAGTTCGCAAACCTCTAGGAAAATGCAAAACACCTTTTGCGACTTCTGACAACTCAGTATTACTTTCCCTGCGTACCATTACTAAGGCCAGTGGCCTGTGAGTAAACGAAGTGTGCAGACTTTCCAAGCGTTTAAACTTATTTGCACACTATGTAGTGTGCTTTATGTTTGCGTGTCTTTTTTAAGAGTACTTTCTCATTTTTTCATGGATAGCGACCTACACATTACCAAAATCTATAGAATCTGCGCACTTTCTAATGGCGTATCACTTACACACATTTACACCGATTATCATTCGACGTATTCATGGCCGTGTCGCTGTTGCAGGTGCTGCGTGAGGGGGAGGCCCCACGATGCCGACCGTGAGGCCCTTCGACCTCAACAACTTCAGCCCCGGGCCGGAGCGCCGCCAGCTCCGCCCGCGTGCCCTGACCTAGGCGGCCCGCCTGGCCCGAGGCGATAGCGGGGCGCCGTCGGGGACAGGATCATCGCGGCCCACCACCACCGCCACGCCCCGCCCCGCCACGCTCCGCCACGCCCCCGCCCAGGCGCGGCGGCCCATGGTTTGCGAGGCCGACTAGGTCCCCGCCCCTCGGGACCGGCGGCGGGCACCCTCTCGAGGGATGAGTGCCCTGGCCCTGGGCATACCCCTGACGGCCGTCACGCTGCTCGGCCTGCTGCTCAACCTCTACATCATCGTGGTCGTCATCCTCTCCAAGCAGGTTAGCGCAGAAAACAACCCCCCCCCCCCCACGTCCCCGTTGATTCGATTTGGCCGACGCGACGAAATCATGACGGTCCTGCCGGCGGCCAGCGGGGTGCTGGTTGGGCGGCGTGATGAGTGGGCATGGGCGGGCCGGGGCGGGCCGGGGCCCTCAAAGGCAGCCCACAGCCGCGCTGCTGTCATTGCGGGAAATTAAAAAAATGTGACGAGAGCGGAGTGGGCGGCCACCACGGCCGTGACGGCCGCGCGCCCGCTTCGCCCCAACGGCCCCAACACGGCCGACAAAGCTCGTGGGGAAATGAATCAAATGTGGAACACGCTTGGATGGAATGCTTTTAAGCTGGGCTGGTATTTTTTTTTTCTCCCCCAACACCAAATGGGTTTGTACTTTTTTTGCCGACACTGCCAAGCTGCTAATACACACATTGCAGGCGTGCATTCCTATCTCCATTTGGAGAACGAACGGATCTAGTGCCGCTGACATTCGTCGTCCTCCGAGCACGGCCTTCCTCCTCCAGGACCAGCACTACCCGACAATGCACTCTCCAGTCGTCCGCAGCGGGGACTGGGGACGCAGGGGGGGGG